CACACACACACACACACACACACAGAAAGTTCTCAGAAAGCAATAGTGTTGATAAAAAAAAATTGTTTATGTGTAGGCAGGCCATACTTTTATTAGCTTTCTCTCTGTTTAAAAGTGGAATAATTGATAATCCTTTATCTTTGGGCATTATTTTCTATTTTCAGATGCCTCTAATATCACTTCAAATAGAAAATAATCAGAGACACAATGATTAATATGGTGCTAAGGAAAAATAATTTATAATTATATGCCTAGTTAAATAATTACTCAGAACTGAGGCAAAATATGAGCTATAAGACAAAAAACAAAACAAAATAAAGAAAAAGTTTTGCTCACATCCCACATACTGATATGTTCACATTTTCATCCGTGATACTGATAATCTTTGGTACGTGTACTTGGACCTCAAACTTGGGAAGCACTGTTGGAAAGGTAAAAGAAATAGGAAGACTGGTGAGCATTTCATGGAAATACATTCCTTTTATTTCTATAATTTCTCCCAAAATGATACCTTGAAATGCTAGATACATTTTTCATTGTACCAATTTAAACTTAATAAGATTTGACAAGATCATGCCAAATCGAGCCATCTGATTACTGCAGATTTCAGTGATACTTAAGTAGCTCTTGCTACCTAAGTCTCTACTAAGAGCTTTTGTACTGACAGAATTGTGGTGGTTTTAGCTGACTTTAAATCAGACCTGAGGAAAATTCAAGAATCTAAGTGAGTTCACAGTAGACCAAAAAGTTGTCCTTTTTCACTAGTAAATATTAAGGAAGTTAATATTCATATCTGCTGTGTAATTTCTTAGTCATCAAAATGAAAATGTTGTTGATTAGGAATAGGGGAATATTTTGGGATAAGTTTACTTTGATATCCTTTTTTATAATATGGGGTAGCACAACAATGATAGTTCCTAAGAGAGTGCACTGTATACTAACATTGCCACTGAATTCCTCACAGAGCTCCTGGTTTTGACACGCAGAAATAGTCTGAAATATTTTTCTACAAATGTTTATAGTTGCAAATCCTGGAACAGGTTTCCCATAGGTGTATCTGTCACATAAGAAATAAACCAGAAACTGAGGAAGGATGTCTATATTCTCTAATGCTAACCTAACACAGAACAGGCAATTTCTTTTTGCAGTCACATGTACCTCTCTATCACTTTGGGCTACTATCGAATAGAAGTAGGTCTAAAAAATGTCTTTTTTAAGGGCCCTGCCTGGTGGCACAGTGGGTTAAAGATAGTACTAAGAAGCTGAAGCTATTTCCACATGAGTTTGATCCCCG